GTATATATATATAAAGAATTAACTTAATTGTTGCTTGACTCGGTTAAAATAAAATAAAATTATTGCCTATAAGACTGGACAACAATAATCACATATCTGTCAACATCATGATGATTCTTAAAAAAATACGCTATAAATCACTTTAAAATAACAGGAAAACAGTGGTTACAACATTTCACTGGTTTTTTTTTTTTTTTTGTAATTATGAAAACTTTTCCAACAAATAGCCAGTTTAGATAGTTGAGCTAAATGCATAAATGATTGTAAACTCCCTTAATACCAAATTTGATTCTAAGGATAAAAGAAGTTTAAGAGACAACTCCTCACAAATGCTGCTCTATAACCAATTAGAAGAAAGTAAGGAGAACTTAAATTTAGCAATTAAAAAACTATTACAACTAAGTACAAGCAATTAGAACAACAGAAAGTAAAATTACACCTACGAAAAAAAAAGTTCAAGCGAAAATTGAAATCTGGGTCCACATCACCCGATGTTGTCATTTACATTTCCAGCAGTGACTATCGTAAATGCATCACTTTGCTATTACAAGCCTGATCCAAACATGGCGAGCCATGTCAACCTTTAACGCCACAATGCAACTATCAATGCAGCTTAAAACATTGCAATGGCATGGCATTAAACAACCATCTCAAAGCTAAAGTCAGGACCTCATACATAGCTCAGAAGACATTACAATTTCCAACATACAATTTATAGCTCTAATCAATATTCAGTTACCAAGTTACAAAATTTTCTGCAAAACAATTGAATAATACGGTACACCCTAGCAATCACCAGTTCATCTATGTCATGACTCCTCTTCTGCTTCAGCAGAAGCTATTTCTGAATCCAATTTGTTTATTACTTGCTCGCTTACATGCTTAGCCACAGATATCATATCAAGAATGATGCTTGGATCCAGCCCTGCACCTCCTCGTTTGGTTATACCACAGATGTGCCCATGCCTATTAACAGAGATAGAAACAGCAGAGCTCATTTGTGATTCCTCTTCTGATGTTGCATCCACAATATAGTGCCTCCCAACCTAGAAAGCAAAGATGTTATGAAATTATCATCATAAATGTGGCCAATCTGAGATACAGGTGCAAAATTGAGAGGACTAATCAGCCTGATCTGAACCCGCCTGATAAAATATAAGATTTGGACTTTAAATTTTTCGCCTGATTTGATTATGGCTAGATTTGGGCTTAACCAGCAAAATTCCACCACATGATCAAAAGAGGGCTTAAACCAGGCTTGAGCTTCATTTAGAGGCCTGAACTGAATCTAGTGATTTTTGGTTAGGCTTGTTATAGCCCACAACCCACATCATATTAAATAGTCCGTTTTGCCATCTCTAATCTGAGATGACAGGATAACACATTTATGTTACCTTAGTCAGTGTAACTATGACAGGGACTCCAGATGTGTCAAACTGAAGAAACTCCTCGTCGCTTATGTCAACTTCTGGTTGCTCATCATTTGATGTTCCAGCAGCAACTTGGACTCTTGGAATACCCGTATTGCTTAAAGCAGCCTAAAAGAATAATAGTTATTAGCTGCATTGGGGGTTTTCCTGTTAATTCTGAAAATAGGTTTGCCCTGTCAACATCATGGTATTAAGGAAGCATGTTGAAAGGAAAACCTCCAAGAAACTAATTGCAAATTCGTTTGGGATTATTATAAAGATTAAAGAAAACAGCTAGTAAGATTGAAAAAGGATATTTTCAATTTTAGCTTAATGAAATGAACGCCTAAGAAAAGATGAGTTTCAGGTAACTACTAACCATTTCCTAGAAATCTTAGATCACATCTTTCAAACAGCCAAAATAACATGTTTGTAACATCAATGGCTAAACTAAGGTAAATAAACAAGAAACTTAATGTTCTATTTTCATTTTAGGTTGCACCTTAATGGCAGCACCTAAAGCATCCAACAAATTTCCATCTGAACTAACAACAAGCCCATCAATATATAGATCCCAACAAATTTTCCCTTCGACAACAATAAGCGAGGAGAGATCAATTCCAGCACCTATGTAAAAAACAAAAGGCTCATTAGCTATAGTAAACGAAGACAATGACATCGAAGAGAAGGCATATGCTAGTAAGCTTAATCTTCATTCTAGGGGGAGAACAGACCTGCTCCACTTTTACCACCTAAGAGACAGCGTTGAAGAGCAATTGACAGTTCTGCTGCCAACTCATCACCACCTCTACCCTATATACAAGCCAGAGATATAGAGAACCAAATAAAATAACAATTTTGAAGCATCAAAAGGTACTTATGGAACAAAAATGATAAATAGCACAAAATAATAGAAAACATCAAAACACTATAATTGATAAAAATTTAAGGCTCATTAATCCAACGCATCATTCAACTTTAATTGAAGCTTTTAAGAATTTTACCTGTTTTGCTACATTAATGTTCATGGTACATAAGACTTAAGAGTTGAACAACGTAAAGAAAACTGGAATACATGGATGACTTCACTAAACGAAGAAGGAAGAAAAGCAATAGAATATGTGACCTCAAAAGCTGGCTCTGCAGTCGAACTGCAATCAATATATATAGAGACTTTTCCTTTGTCAGGTTGCAACAAGCTTGGCTTTCCAAGTTCAGGCTGCACTTGTGTAGCCAATATATCATCATGGTTAGCAAAATAACTCATTTGATTGAAAAGAATTGATTATAACATTAAAGATAAGATATTGCAAGTCAAGAAATATGAGGTCAATCCAAACATTTTAATTTCTAACCTTAACACTGGCAATGACATCTGTGGCACCCATTCTGACTCTTGCTGAACCATTTGCCTGCCATGCAGTTAGTTTATCAAATGCACAAATTAAAACTATTTAAAGAAAAAAATAAAAAAGAATCAATGGTCCACCAGGGTCACATCACATCATCAGAATACCGAGCCAAATGCATTACCTGGGGAATCACTCCAGTTTCAACAGAGATTGGTCGATATGTCAATCTCTTTCTACCATCACAACGAAGATCTTGAGCAATGCCACCTTGGATGAAATGTTGTTCTCCTACAGATAAACCCACCATTCCTGCAAAAGAGAAACTTCATAACTAAAAGTACAAAGTGGAAACCGTCAAACTATTTTCACATCAAGCATAGTTGTTGATAGAAACTAGAATCAACAGAGAGAATCACAGTATTTCACTAAGAACTGAACGAAATAACAAGAGCAGTAACTCCTCAAGCTCAGAATAATTCTCCAGCCCCACACAATTCCACAAGATTAACAATATCAAAAAATATATACATAAATTCTCATATACGCATCTAACATAGTATGAATAAGATGGAAAAATTAAAATAAAAATTAAAAATTAAAAAAATTAAGCTTTAATTCATAATTACATATTTATAAGCAATAACTAAACTTGATACAAATGAGCAACAAAAGAGTCCATTGCAGCAGCAAAGGAGCTCAAAAGACCTAGTTATGGAAATTTAAATGATTGAAAACAGAAACAAAGAAATGAGTTGTGACCAAAACAAAGGGAGTAGAGTAAAGTGAAAAAACGTTAGAAGAGAAGAGAGGGAAGGAGAACAACGATTCTTTGGTTGAAAACAGAGGCAGAGGAACAACAATTTCAAATGCGGCGTAGGAGGCTATGGTCGGTGGTCACGATACTTGTGCAGCAGGTTCAAGAAGACACAACGTGTTTCTCTTTACTCTAAGCATTTGGTTTGAGTAAACTTAGGTTTTAGGGCTTGGATTTTACGGGCTCGGCCCAAAACAATGAAACTTGACCCAAAACATCAAACTTGAAGCAAAAAGAAACTGGACCAGCGAATTGGGAAAAAAAAAACAAAAAAAAAGAAGGTTGATTCCACACTTTTTATTAGGCATGGCAATCTAACTCATCATCGTGGGTGCCGCCCGAACCCTCCCCGATTTAGACGGGAAAAACCCGTATTTATTGGGTTCGGGTTCAGGTTCGAGTTTCCCCGATTGATAAAATCGGGAACAGGGGCGGGGGCGGGGGCGGGGGCGG